GCCATCTTCTTGATCTGCTCTGAGTTTTTTAATCTGTAAATTAGAAAAAAAAAAAGCATATGCCCTTTTAATGACTATAAGAATTTGAGCTCATTAATGCAGAAAAAAAAAAAAAAAAAAAAAAAAAAAAAAAGAAGAAGAAGGAAAAGTAGGCTTTCTATTATAGCTGTTCTTTAATTATGGAACAGCATGTGCGAGAAGGCTCTTTACTCATAACTGTGTCCTCAATTCTGTTACACATTTTAGTGGAGAATGCATGTAATAGAAAAACAGCAATAGAGTGTGGAAATTGTCCAGAGCCCTGCTCTCCTAGGGAAACGATGCCAATGGTACTTTTGTGCTGCTGCTCCTCGGCAGCCTCTTTGCACTTTCCTCCAGGTTACATGCACAGCATGACTCACTGCCTGATGGTTTCATTGAAATAGAAAAATATAGGCACAGTAATGATTGCATTCAATCATAAACTACAATCAATACAGTGCAGTTTAAATGTTCTGTGCCCTAGCAGGCCACTATGGGGTCCCCCCACTCCCCCTTCCCTATCTGATTCCCTGAAGAAATGATTTTTCATTTCTAAAAGGTAACAGTTGTTCCAAGCGATCTAGCAGATGTAGCCGAGTCTCTCTGAATGAAATATGTAGGTCAGAGCAGGAGGCATTCATTGTTTTCTTTGACGTACCTTCATGTCAGCCCTTCATTGGAGGGAAAAGCCACTTCACAGTGCTCACGGGGTGCCCTGTGGGAGTCTGATGGGGGGACCTCACAGTAACCCCCCCCCAAAGAGTTCATATGGGGGCAGCTGCAGGCAGGGATATTTTTGTGCCATAATGAGACTCTGTGACCTTTTATTTACGTGCACTGGGACATAAATCTCAAAACAAGTTCTCAAGTGTGCACAATTATCTCAACAATACATTTTTGTGTGTGTGTGCATCTCAACACCACGGCAGAGTTTGGCAAACTTGTGATCTCCAATGAAGGACTGCTCCCAGGAGAGCTGGGCGAGACTGAAAGCAGGATGAGGAGAGTGGGGAAAGCGGCCATGTCAGGATGCAGGGAACTTCTCCAGGAAAAACAATAAACATGACTTTTGGCCTTTAGAGGCATCTCATGTGCCACTGCTGATCACAATTCCCTGGGGCAAATATCCTCTTTTCAACGCCAGCAAAAAATCTGGCTCAATATTAAGTATGTACTCACTCTTTTGCAGTATCTTCAAAAGAGAAAAAGTCCAAAGGATTCTCTTCTACTCCACAGTTGTGATGCTTTGACAAAACCCACCGCTGCAGTGTTTCCTTCCCAACACAGGTCAGGAAAAATCCCCCATGACATACCAGATCTCACCCTAGCAGACCCCAATTCCACCTTTCTTCACAACCACCTGCACAAGGAGCTAATAAAGAAAGGGTTTTCCCTTTTCCCGTTAGCAGCAGCAACTGCCTAAAGATGAAAAATAACTCCCAGGAGGCTGGTATAAAATGAAATCATGCCAACAAGCCCTAAATAAAGGTTGCAGCTCCAACATGTCTTCTGTTACGTTCAGGATGTGCAGTAAATGACAGCTGAATAAATCAAACCCCCGGAGTTCCATCGTAATGATCAGGTTAAAAGTGTTATTATCTCATTTCAGCTAAAAGTTCTGATTCATATTTTTTTTTTTTTGCAAAAACCTCAGAGATCTTGGATTGTATGTCAGTCATATTAGAGCTGGAAAAGGACTAGCATAACTTTCTGAAAAACAGACTTTTCTTTGGTCATAAATCAGCGCTCCTAGTTTCATTCGGCTGCCTGTCTCCCTTTCTTCCTCTTTCCCCCCCCCCCGTTTCCTCCTCCCACTCGTTAGTCTGTTCAGCACCTTCGGTGAGTCACACAGAGCTGGCTGACAAGCGAAGTCAAGTTCGACTTCACATCAAGTTCCTGCAGAGCCCTTCTGCTGCACGGTGTGCTGAGCATCATTCTGGCTCCCTCCTCCCAACCCAGCTCAGATGGACCTGCACTCCTGAGGATGAGCATTTGGGACCAAGAGTCCCCTGCACACCTGGAGACCCAAACTGTGTGCATTGATGTGAGTCAATTAGCAGAAGATTGCAGGTGAGAGAAGCTGTGATAGGTCTTGAATTATGTCAGGTTAATTTAAGCCTGAGGGATTGAAAGAATAGTCACGGTGTTGGTTACCTCTGCCTCCTGTCTCTACTCCTAGCTGAATTATATTCCCTTAAAACTTCCAAAGTGGATCTTGCCTTATCACATGGAGAGTCAGTGCAAGACACGATAGTTGGGACCCTAACAGCTTACTGTGCAACACTCCCTGAAGCAAGGACTTGGTGCTGTGTTCTACAACCCCATTTCAGCAGTCTGTAAGCACGTGCCCGGCCTTAAACAGTGATCCTTGAAAAACCCAAAACACTGTACCAAAGTATGAGGCTTATGGTAGTTATAGTACTTGTACAGAACTGTCCTGAACCAGATTTTAGTACATGATTCCATATGTTTCTGGCTTACATTTCACAATTCTTAGCAATTGTTGAGAGGCACTGCCCAATCCCTCACTGCTGCAGCTCCCAGCGCCAAACTCCATCCCCATGCCATGGATTTGCCAACTGGATGCCCTTGGGCATCCAAGTGCCTAGCCTGACCCAAAGCAGCTCCTAGGCCAACCAAGAGGTGCCTGGTGAGATCCAGGGGCTTTTTGGGCAGATGCCCAAATGGTATTGAGATCCCAATGCAGATAGTAATGAGGCAGCTTGATCTCACGATTAGTGCTCAAGCCTTAAACAAATCTTACTCAATTTTTGCAGTTGCAGAAAGGGCAGTAAGTCCTCATTTCACTTTTAGCAATGGTGTAATTTTACAACTCCTATAGAGGCAGCTTTTAACAAGGCTTAGAGAACTATTATAAATGCTTTCTTTTCCAAAGCCTGGGAAAAGTCTGATTTGTTACCAGGAAAAGGATCTTTTAAGTCTGAGATTGATTACTGCTTGCTATTTCACGTACGTGTAAGTATTAGGTCAGTTCTGAAAGATGCATAAATTACTGAAACCAAACTGTTGAGTTAATAAGAATGATATTTTCGAACTCTTATGGTTCCATTTTAAGTTCCCATGCTATTAATGCCAGTTGAATAAGTTACTGAAACTGAAATGAACCACGTTCAAGGCTAAATTATGCTAAAATAGGTCAAGCAGCAGTGAAGGCAGTTATTTTGACTAAACTAGGGTTAACAAGATGCATGTAACAAATGCCTCAGGAGAACAATCACATGTGCTTGCTGCACATGATACCACAGCAGGATACCCATAGCTTCAGGTTCGAGCTAAATGGCATCATGGTGTGCTCTTTCGGGCAAGAAAATAGTTTTACAATTGTTTGAATATGATCCCCTCATTTTATGTGATGTAACCTGACAGTTTAAAGGGTCCCATAAGCACGTTTTCACTGAAGCCTATGCAACTTCTAAATACTCAACTAGGCTGTTTTTAACATAAAGCAGAGGGAGAGCAAAGAAGTAATTAATGAAAGAGCTGATACCTTCTGAGACTCCCGGCATGACAGCATGCCCAGCTGTCTTTCCACTTGCTTCTGAATAAAGGAAGAAGTCAGGAGGCAGAAATTAGCCTAAGGTGTTAAAATCGAATATCCTTGGACTTCATGATAAACAGAGATGAAATACACGTCTAGTGTTAGTCTTCTTTGTAACAACAACAACAACAAAACTTTTCACATAATCTCTTTGATTTCTCAGCACTCAGTTCCATAAATTTCATATGAAAAAATCTGTAATGCTGGTCTTCCCTTCCCTTCCCTTCCCTTCCCTTCCCTTCCCTTCCCTTCCCTTCCCTTCCCTTCCCTTCCCTTCCCTTCCCTTCCCTTCCCTTCCCTTCCCTTCCCTTCCCTTCCCTTCCCTTCCCTTCCCTTCCCTTTTGTTCCTTTTTTCCTTTCCCTTTTTCCTTCTTCCCTTTCAAAAGCCTCTATTGTGTAGAGCTGCACTTGAGTTTTGAATACTTTTACCACATCTCCGTGTTAGGGTACAAATACCTTCCAGTGGAAAAATGAAGTAGAGGAAAACACATAGACATATTGATTGAGTCTGCTCTCACCAAGCACCTGGGCTGAATACTTATATGTATACACTCTCTGAGTAGAAAAAATTCTGCATCTAATGTACCAGATGCACATCCTTTTTCAGAAAGTTGACATGCACGCAGAATATTACATTTAGGAACATTTATGAATGTGCATTGGATTTTGCTTATCCTAGAGCACTGGATGTTTTTCTGTAAATCTATTTGATGATACTGAGTACCAAAATGTTAAAAATTTCCACTTTTTACAGCTGTGTCCATTTTTATGAGGGGCTTTGAGTTTATTAGTTATCCAACCAGAGAGACAGAATGGGAACAAACCTGTACTCTAGGAAAGTCTATTGAAGAAATTGATTATATAAAGAAAAAAAACTTTCTACTGTATACAAAAAAAAACTGATTAAATTCATTTTCTTCATGAGATTTTCTGTTGCTTTTTCACGTCTGAGCTGGTTTTAATGCAACGTAAAGAGAGTGCAAAAAATTCACTGATGAACAGCCATTCCACCTCCAGCTTCAGGTGATGAAAAACATCTTTTAAAATCCAGAAAAGCTGTTTTCCAAATGGAAATGCTGAATCAAGAAAACCAATAATGTTCTCCAAGGTTGGATTAGTTTATCAGTCCTGTTTAGGGATGATGGTAGCTAATTTTTTTTTCCATTGACACGGGATGTTCAATACTAGTGATACTGTTTTGACTTTTATTTCAGAGTAGAACATACTGAAATGCTTTTAATAGTGTAATAAACCAGTAATAAACCAGATTATGAGTCAAAATAACTTACTTCAACTTGCGTTGAAATTTTAAGCTTGCCCTCACCCAAGGTGATATATCTAACTAGAGTAGGTTGTTAAATTTGTAAGACAGTACCTTGTATTATTGTTCTGTGCAGTGTCTGATGCACGGACTCAGATGTGAACGATCCAAATCATTTATTACAAGTTCTCACATCACTTATATACCTTCACAAGTTTTCTTTTTCTAGCTTTCCCATCCACCCCTACAACTTTCCCATCCACCTTTACATGTCAACAGAGCATTCTACAAAAACTCTTCACCCATTCACGCAGGCGCTTGTCCAATAGAGCCGTGAGACCTTCCTCCTTCTTTTAGAGGTGTCCTTGGTTCTCATGCTATTTACCTTGCTCCACAGCTGCTGGTCTGTACAGTTTTTGTTGTATTCCCACAGTCCTGCACAAAAAAAAAAAAGAAGTAGGAGATTCCTTTTTATTTCTGAGAGTTTTGAGATATGTTGACTTTTTGGCATTTCTGACTTTCCAACAAGAGGGGAACCATAGGTTTTGGACACTGGAAATTAGTGTCACTGCTTGTGAAAACTTTGTTTAATTTTATTGTTGAATTTGGTTCAGAATGGGAGTTTTAATACTGCCTTCATATTTCAGTCACAGGGTCTAGCAAAAGACCTTCTACCTTCTGTTTAGAAGCTATTTCAGTCTGCCTTTGATAATCCAAATTGGATTCACCTACCTGGAGACAAAATTTCCTTTACCATAAATGAAATGTGCAAATTAGCTATGATAATTAGACTTGACCCAGTTACTGGGTTTGGGATCATCCTTCTATCTTGCCTGGAGCTGAATGTCCCTACAGAAAGCAAATCTCTCTGTTAAGACAGAGTTAAAAACCTTTCATCAGGGACACAAAAGAAAATGTAACCAAAGCACTATTCCATCAGCTGGCGTTGTCTGTTACTTTTTTTCTGCACAATGAATTATTGATCATGAGTGATTTAGAGTTCTCTTGGTTATTTACATGACACCTCTTCCTCTCCCCTCCTGCCACGTACACACTTTAGTACAGCAAGAACATTTATTACAAATAGTGATGTCAGATCCTTAAACTTTTGTAGTAAGTAACAGCCAGGTATCAAATCGCTCACCTAATCCTTCCTCATCCATCTTAAAACTTCAGTGAGTTGCAGGGTATCAATGGCTGAGTATTCCACCTTTGCTTAGAGATAAGCCCCATGTACACAGCAGCATAATAATGCCTGATGGGAAACGTGCGCCCAAGAAAACTCCCATAGCAAGATTGTATTGTACTAAGAAATTCTGTTTGTTGCCTGGCTGGCTTCAGAGACGTTATTTATCCCTTTCGAGCTTCCAAGTTAAAATGCAGGGGCTTATCTGCTGGGAGTGTAATCTTGTACAAAACCAGAGAGACATTTAGATTCTGTTGAACTCCCTGAGAGTTACCATCATGTTCCTAGCACAGACTTTGGGATTAGCTGGCATCTGCTCCCTGGACTTGCATTTTTGCAGGGTTTCCGGTGAACAGAAGAAAGAAATAAAATGTTCTCGTGCTACAAAAGAAATGCGGGGATTTTTTTTTGTTTTCTTTTTATTTTTTTTGTTTGTTTGTTTGTTTTTAAAGAAAGAATGAATAAGGAATAAAATACAGTTTCTTTTGGTGCCTCATTCTCTAGAAGCTGTGGCAAAATATAGGATTCTGTCCAAAGCTACAGTATTCACGGCCTTTGGTATAAAGCGCAGGTTCAAGACATTCTTCTGATTAAAAATAAATATCAGTAAAACTCCTAGTCATTTCACAGCTTCCAGAGGCAAAAATGTGCTTTTGCCAACAGAGTTTGTACCAGATCTGTGATCAGAACAAAAAAAGCACTTCTTCCAGGTAAAAAGCTGTGGCTATGGTGTGAGATTTTGTCAGCACACGGATGTACCCATTCTGGCAAACCCTCTCTGGTGTTAACTAGACCTGACTCCAGAACGGCCAAACACAAGCATTTACCCGCCTATACTACTTCATGTGTAGAGGGAGAAAGTACATTGACTCATCTGAATTAGGATTGTATTGAATAAAATGATTAGCCTGAAAGAAGGAAAACAAGCACATGATGAAGAAGCTCTTCCAGATTGGGATGGGTGCTGGGAAGCTGAGATAACCTGTTTTGTTCAGCCCCATCTTAAGCCAGGTTCTTTGCACTGGCACACTCCCAGAAGTATCAATTCAAGCTAGAAATCTCTTTTGAGGCTGTTGAAGTAAGGAAGCCTCTCCACATTTTTTCATTTATGATTTATGAGGGCAGAAGAGCCTTTGCACAAAATTAAAGGCTGAATGAGAGAATCTGGAAAGAGGCAGGACCAATGAACTAAGTTTATGATTAAGTGCCAGAAATCTCCTGAAGGTTGATCCACCTTCTGTTTTAACTTACTCTTTGGCCTTGGGCAAATTTTTTGCCTTACAAACATTTCTTTTATCTGCTGATAAAGTTTGCAACACTGAATATACCAGGGAACGAGGACACATCCATTTCTGTATGTAAACTATTTTGAAAACCATGACCACTTTTTATATCAATTATGCAAGTACTTCAGTTCTTTATATGGTAACTGAAGAGTCATAGGCTTGTAGTAACTATCCCAGTCATAGTGCCACACTGTAATAAATTTGACTGGGATAGCAGCTTGGAGCTACTTTTCAGTTACCCGAAGTCTTCACAATCAAATGAAAATGCCACAAAATCTGATTCATTTACCAGCTGGAAATATTAATGTAGGAATAGTGATGTTCTTTGCCATTAAATCAGACTGGAGTTTGTCTGTAGGGTCTGAAAAATCTGTGGTCACTGCTTCCATTCCTGGTTTTTGGAAGCTGGAAAAATTGAGATTAATTAACTATGCTTTTTCCTTGAAAAAATATCTCTGGGTTTCTTCTTTTGAGGAGATATTCTTGGAAGTAAACTAAATGGAGATATGTGTTTTATTCCATGAGAAATCAGACTGCAAGCCACACATGAGGTTGGCAACTCAGCGCTTTTAACACCAGTATTCATTCCCCCAGTTGATATGAATATAGAATCATAGAATCAATCATAGAATGGCTGAGGTTGAAATGGGCTTTAAAGATCATTGAGTTTCAATCTCCTGCCATGGGCAGAGCTGCCACCCACTAGAGCTGCGCAGGGCTCCATCCAAACTAGCCAACATCCTGTATCTCAGAAAGGTATTTCCCTGGGACAGACTGGGTACTTGGTTCCCAGGAGAAAAAATTCAGGTGAAATATTAATCTGTGCCTTACTGAGCCATTCCTCCTGCATATTAGCACACAGTGGGATCATCCTGCAGCCCCTTTTGACCCATTCCAACAGGAGGCTCTATAGTAGCTTCCCCCACTGCTTGTGGGACTCTTGAGGTGAAGCACTGCTCTGCTGACTGTCCAGGAATGACAGATAAGTGAGATGCGCTTAAAGCTAAGAGAAGAAAGGCAAGAGGCAAAAGATCATCTACCTTCTTTTTCATTCAAAATGTAATTTAAAAAACACCTTATAGAAGCATCCAACAGTCCTTAAAAAAAGAAAACATCCGAAAGAACCTTCTTTACTTTTGAACTCCAATTACTGGCAGGAGGAAAATAATAAATTACGTAATCTATATTCTACTATTTAACAGGTACTAAGTATAGTGTAGTTACTCAGAACAATACAAAACATAATAATATGAGAAGCAGTGCCGAAGAGAATTCTGCCGTTGTAGATAGAGGCATTTTTAGCATTATGTTCCTCAGGAAGAACATCAAATATTTTTCTGAGTGACCTAATTTTCTTTGCCTGATCAAATGTGCCAGATGCTTCCTTATTCAGAATTGCCACTCTAAGTGAAAAACTGTTTTCTGGCAACCACTTGAAATCTCGTCTTCAGTTTTCTGTTAGGGATTATTATACAATCATTGCCCGGGCAGACTGGAAGCATATGGTAACTGGGCTGACATTATCTCTGCTATTTCAAAGTTCCCTAAGGATGTGTGGGCACAGCTACAGTCTCAGGTATAAGCCAGCCTCCCCAGTGCATTCAAAATGTCACCCAAACTCAGCAGTGACCACACAAGCTGCGGACAAAGAGCTCAGCAGCCTGCTTTCCATCTCCCTCGCAGGGATGGGTAGCTTTTCCCTTTTGTAGATATGCCCATGACTCAACCAGGAGAAATGCTAACGGTGGCACAGTGTCATTTACTGTGCAGGTCCCAGGTACAATTGCAACCCTTTGTGACATTGGTAAAGCTGGAGAGGCTGTGTTTTAGTTATAGCCACCCACGTCTTATCTCCTACACTTAATTCAGGCTGTACAAACTTGTCTGTCTTGGGGGACTGTGACAATCACAACAATTGATTTAGCCTTTCCCACTGTTCCTGTTGCAGGCACCAGGGAGTCAATATCTGTGGGCATCAAGAGTCAAAAGGCTGCAAGCAAGCCATGTGCATCCTAATGTCTTTTTTTGCATCCTCCTGACAACCAAGTTAGCTGTGGTGGTTTCCAGGTGCTGTGGACCTTCTCAGCACCTCTGGCCCTTAGAGGGAGCATCTGCATTGCTAAATAAGAAAGACATGGCCTGAGCTCAGGCACTGAACCCTTTAGAGTAAATGTTCAACAAATACCATCAGCTTGTTGATGACCAACTGGAAGACTCCATTAATTTGTGAATGAACTTCGTGCTCATACACAAAAAGATGACAATTTTGATTTTATATTTACTGTCATCACTTATTTTGTGCTACCTTTCCTCTGGTGGCCCAAGACTCCCACTGCTCAAGAGGTGGTCACTAACGTTATGTGTCTCTTCCAACCAAGAGAGGATCAAGAGCAATGAGCAGTCGCTTATAAGAGCTCCCAGAAGGGCAAAATTTGGTGCTCTCTTATTCATACTAATTTGGGAAGTATATCTTATGCATACAAGTGTTACGAGGAGCAGCTAAGAGAACAGGGATTGTTCAATCTGCAGGAGGTTCAGCTGAGACCTTATCTCTCTATATAACGACCTGAAATGAGGTTGTGATGAGGTGGGGGTTTGAATTTTCCTCCAGCTGTATCAGCTCAGCACCAGGCCATGGAGCAAGCTAACAGACAATCAGCATCTGTAGTTAGGACACTCAAAAACTCCCAATGTTTGGCTACACACATCTCAGAGTAGTTTACATACAGGTGTAGCTTTAAGGCAGCATAGGCAAATGACTAGACATGTGGATGCTCTATAAACACTTAAGTCTCTAAACCTAATTTATTTTTGTGTATCTAAGTTGATTACAAATTGATTAAAAATAAAAGAAAATGAGTTGCTTTTAAATTGTAGTATCTACATAGCCAATATATTCTCTTAGAAAATCAGTAGAAGGTTCTACATTAAGAAAGCCATCATCAAAATGGAAATCAGGCTTCCAAGCTATTTAAATTTTAGTTTCTTTAACTTATTCTGAAGATAAACTATTACTAGTACTGACTGTCTCAACAAAAACAAGTGGATCAAAATCCAATCTCATTTTGCAAATTCTATGCACAAATACAATTCAACATACTTTTTTTTTCTGTTTCCTTTTCAGATTTAAATTAGCACCTATATACAGCTCAAGGAGCCCTGCAGAATTTTAAACAGGCAGTACTGAAATAAATAAATAAATCTGGGAGATAATGCATTCTACAATATTCACAGCTGAGATTGCTCATTTTCTTCTAGACAGTCTGTAATTTTACTGTAACTTAATCATGACCTACACTGTAGTATGATTTTTTAACACATCACTACAGGCAAGTTGTCCTATTCACACCCCAAATGGAAATTCATACTAAAATATCAACAACTTGGAAGACAGATGCCAGCTCAGTCATACCTGTAGCATCGCCAGGATCTGTGAGACAGACAAAGAAGATACGGGAACAGATTTATAATCTAAGAAGTATGAGCAGTGCTGGTTTTAACTAACTCTACCCCGGGACAGAAACCCTCGAAGTGAAATGATTTTATTGCCTAGAAGCATACTAAAGAAATCATATCAATAGCTTCCCCCAGTCTATCAGGTATAATAGGAAAACTAATCCCAACTGTGAATTTACCATTCTGCTTTCCAAATTGCTTGCTGGTGAAGGTAACTGGTTTCCACTCCTCCCTTCAAAGCTGTCACCTGTTCCTGCTACCTTGGAGTGCTGCTCAGAGCCGAGCAAGCAAACGAAAAGAACCAAATGTCCCTACTAAATGTTGCTCCAGAACTTTCACAAAGTCAATTTCTTTCAAATTATCCATCATTAAAAACGACTGTCAGGGGTTATCCTGATTAGCAGCTGTGCTGCAGAAGGTCTGTGCAACCCCAGCCCACTCCCAGCTGCCTGTTTCCCAAGATAACATTATCTTCTTGGATGCCTTTGCCAGAGTTTCTGTAATTATTAGTGATTTGCAGTGCTGTTCTCCACCCAGTGTTTATCTGAGCAGAAGAAGGCAGGGAAGTCTTGCAAGACTTCTTCCCTTCTCGGATCGTTTACTTGGCCAAATTCAAATCCCTCTTCAAGTAGCTTGGTGTGATTTTTTTTACATTTGTATGTAGGATGTAATTTTACTGCTCCTCAGTCCTGTACTCTTAGAAAGCTCACATCATTGTTCCGACAAGCTTTCTTCCATGTGTGTTAGACCTTCCTGTAAAATCATAGAATCATACAACCATAGAATCATTTGAGTTAGAAAGGGCCCTAAAAATCATGCAGTCCAACTCCCCTGCTACAAGCAGGGACACCTACAGCTTGATCAAGTTGCTCAGAGCCCTGTCCAACCTTAGATATGCCCAGGAAAGGGACAGCTGCCACCTCTCTGGGCAACCTGAGTGCCTTATCACCCTCACTGGAAAATACTTCTTACATGCAGCCTGAATCTCCCCTCTTACACTTTGAAACCATTTCTCCCTGTTGTCTCACATCAGAGCCTGCTATGCAGTCTGTCTCCTTTGTTAAAGCCCCCCTTTCGATACTGAAAGGCAGCTTGTGTCTAAATCCAGTGTCTTCTTTTTGCTCTGCGCGCTGCCCTGTGTTCCAGCCTTGCTGCCTGCTCACTCCAGCTTCCCTATCAGCAGTGAATCCTCTGTCATCAATAATCCACTACTTTAACTGGCTTAGAGTTTCCTTCCCTCTCTCTCTGTCCCAGTCAAATGCCAGATTAGAGCCAGCAGAAGCCCGCTGCTATCCCTGTTGTATGCATTAATCTTCTTACAAGTATGGTCTGTTCTGTATTTAACCTCTCTGTGCCGCACAGCCAGGTGATACCGAGAGCTCAAGCAAAGTTATTTTCCTTTGCATGTTAATGAGTAAAGAACCCATTAGTAGCACATGATTGTAATTTTATATAATAGATTTAGCTGAAATTGCTCAAGCCACTAATTGCAGACTACCAGTCAGACTCTTCTCCCAGCAAACTTTGATGCTCTAAGGATTTGAATGTCTTGTTCAGTACTGTGAAGCCAAAAGCCATCAGGTGAGTGATTCCTTTGAAATCAATGGGTCATATGGCTCAGCCAGAGCAGAAACATTTGACTCCGTGTCTGTGCTGCAGAGTGCTAGGCAGCTGCCTTAGGAAGCAAGATCCATCTTTGATTTTGGATTTTCTTCCCCACGTGAATTACGGCATATCTGGGGATGTGAGTAAGAGAGCAAGACCGGAGACCAGGAGCCCTGTCTTCTGTTCCTGGCGCAGCCCCAGTTCACTGTGTGACTGTGCGCAAATCGCTTAAGCTGTCTCTGGGATAATAATCGACACAGCAATTCTAGGAGGCTTAATTTTTAAAGTGTCAACTCATATATTTTCACCGATGTGCCTCGGGAGATGTCCTCTTCTCCACTGGAAGCAGGAGCAGGGCTGCAGTACTGACAGCAAGATTTGCAACCCTTGACCCGTTCTCCTCCAGTCTGCTGTAACTACTTCATACAAAATGTTCAATGATAATAGTAATGCCAGAAATGCTGTCCCGGAGCTCTGAAAGCCTCTTATCATCTTCAATTCCTAAAGCAGAGTGTACAGAATCCCGTGCTCTGGTTTTCTTTTTGCTACTTTCAGCATTAATTCTTTTTTTGTTATACCAGCAGATACATAGTCTGCTGCAGCTGCTTTTTGGTTTTGGCCTCACTGATCGCATGGCATAGTCTTGGACAAAAAATTTGGATTTTTTTTTCCAGTGTTTTTTGTGTGCCTGAAATCCTAAAGTCGCAGAAGTGACAAGTGATGGGCTGTAGCTTTGTTGGGGTAGAGGCTGCAGTCTACATGCTCTCCTTTTGAGAAGAACTGTACACCATGCGGTTATCTTTTCATGGATCTTTCCACTGTTCTTCTTTCCACTGTCCCAAAGTGGAAGCTCAGGAATCATAATCACTCACGAATATCCAAGATTTCTACAAGGTGGATCAAATGCAACAGTAAGATATGTTTATCTCCCCTCACATGGACTGCTTTTTCTCCCAGTCATGGTGACATCTGATCCCTGTGGCAATTAGACTAAAACAATTAATTTCA